GAAAGCGTGCACGATATATGCTAGCACATTCGACGGACGTGGCACATGACCGTTCAGCCTTTGGTCTTGCCTTCGTTGGCAAGGGCCTGACCTGCCTCCAGCGTTCGCACGAGGTGGTTTTTATAGCAGCGTCGCGCGCCCGCTCGCGCCGTCGGGCTGTTAGGTGGTCCATCGGCGCCACGGCTATGGCCTGGGCCTTAGGCCTGGCTCAACAGGCCGCTCCTCCTCCTCCTCCTCCTCCACCTCCTCCTCTTTTTCCTCCTCCTCCTCCTCCTCCTCCTCCTTCTCTTCCTTGGGCGTCTGGGAGCTGTTTCACAGGCTGGCGGTCCACAGTGGACAGCGACGGCGACGACCAAAACAGCAGAAAGGGAACGACAGCAGTGGCAGCACCAGTCATGGACACACCTGTGTGGCACAGCCTCGGGCGTGCTCGGGGATGAGGCGTTCCCGCGCGGGTTCCCTGCGGCAGCGGCGAAGCGTACCCGCGGATCCGTGGGGTTTTGACGTTTTCTCTTGACTCGATTTGCGAGGATCAAGCCAGGGAAGTCGAGGTGAGTCCAGATAAGTCGAGGTAGATCCAGGCACATCGAGGCAAGTCCAGGGATCCCCAGGGAAACCCGGAGGCGACTGCGGAAGCTCCAGCGCGGGCCGAGGGACGGCAGAAACGGGTGCCCATCATTCTTTGAAAGTGGGCTTTTTTGGTATTCTCAGATCCCCATCCGTTTTGGGCGCCCTCGTGCCCCAAGAGTCGAGTGGATTTCCCGTGTCCTTCCTTTTTCAGGGGGCGGGCGGAAACCGAGTACTTTCAACGCCTTCCGCTGTGGTCATAGGACACCAATTATATTCAGGAGGGGAGCGAAAACACACAGACACAATTAATCATCGATCCCCAGGGAAATATGGGGAACTATGGGAAGTTGGGGGGGAGACGGAAACAGAGAACGTATGGGAAACTATGGGGAATCCTGGGATTTGTGTCTATTCATTTAATCGCTTCGCTCATTCCGCCGGCCCATACTGCCTCGCCGCTGTTGGGGTGTGCCTCTTCTGGCTCTCTTGGGAGGCCTCTTGGTGGTGTGAGGATGTTGCATGCCATGCTGGTGGCGACGCCCGCATCTCTCTACCTCTAACCTCGCTGTGCGCTGCCCTCAAGGCGCACACGTCTCTGGGGGGCATCCCGACTCCTAGTGCGGGCTTTGTTCCCCAGGGGGTGGGCACATTCAGATAGGCTCTCAGGCACATTTATCCCTTCGACAGGTGGCTTCTTCGGGGGTGTTGTACGCGTCGTGGGCCGTCTGGAAGCCGTCGTGGGTGTCTCGGACCGATCGTTCGGCGAGTGTCACTTGGAGCGCTGCCAATTGCTCGAGTGATCTTTGTCAATGCGGTGCTGCTGGGTGGGGTTGTTGAGTATCGAAGACGCCTACGGCGAATCACCGCCGCCCCGTGCCTTTTTGGAAGCGCCTGCGTGGCCGAAAGTTGGGTTTGAGCTTGACCAAGCTATCGGGCCACGCGTTCCCCGTGTGGGTTTCGAAAGCTGTCGGGGAACACGGAGTCGGGCGAGCTGTCGGACCAGGTGGTTTCCAAGCTTCCGGGTTTCCTGGAGGACGTCTTGGAGGGCTCTTGGGCCGTCTTGGAGGCCTCTGGCGGGCCTTTTGGGCAGTCGAAGGCAGTTTCAGGCCATTTGGGGCCGTCTTGGGTGCATCTGGAGGCCATCTTCGCCGTCTTGGAGGCCTTCTTGGCCGTCTTGGAGGCATCTTGGAGGCCATCTTGTCCGTCTTGGATATCATCTTGGGCGACTTGGGGGCCTTTTGGGCCGTCTTGGGGTCTTGTTGGGGCCCTCTCGGGGGTTTCTTGGGCTGTCATGGGGACATTTTGGAGGCCTCTGGTGCGCTCTTTGGGCGATGTTGGATGCCTCTTGGGCCGTCTTCGGCCGTCGGAAAGCTGAGAAGACGAAAGTGCCAAACCTTTTTAAAATCGCAAGAAAATCAATGAATTTCATCCTTTCGGGTCTTCCTGGTGAAGCTCTTGGAGGGCTCTTGGGGCTCTCTTGGGCAGTCTTAGGGTAAGTTTGGAACCATCTTGGGCCGTCTAGGAGACTTCTTGGACGAACTTGAAGGCATCTTGGACTCTTGGGCCGTCTTGGGGACATTTTGGGCCATCTTGGGCGGACTTGGAGGCCATCTTGGGCCATCTAGACCATCTTGGAGGCCATTTTGGAGCAAGAACCAAAACCAAAAGCGAAAGGGTCTAGTATGCCGGGCACCCCTGTGATGAATCAACAGGGGGTGGCGGATCAATCGAAGACGCCTACGGCGAATCACCGCCGCCCCCTGCCTTTGTGGAAGCGCCTATGTGGCCCAACGTTGAGGCCAGACCGGCCAAGCTATCGGATCATGTGTTCCCCGAATCGGTTTGGAAAGCCTTCGGGGAACACGGGCATTTTGGGGGTCATCTCGGCCGTCTGGAGGCCATTTTGACCCTTTCGGGCCTTCTTGGAGGACGTCTTGAAGGGCTCTTGGGCCGTCTTGGAGGCCATCTTGAGCGTCTTGGCGACCTCTTGGGCCGTCTTGGGGGCCTCTTGGGGCCGTGTCTTGGGCCTCTTGGGCGATCTTTGGGGGCACTTGGGCCGTCTCGGGCCGTCGGAAGGCCGAAAAAAAAACAAATGCCACAATCCTTCAAAAACGTAGGGAACACCCATGATTCCTGCCTCTTCGAGCCCTCCTGGGGGCCCTCTTGGAGGCCTCTTGGGCTGTCTTGGGCCATCTTAGGGCCATGTTCGGCCGTCTTGGTGGGTTCCTGGTCCGTCTGACGCCGTCGGAAGCCGTTTGGGGGGCCTCTATGGGCCGACTTGAGGCCCTCTTGGAATGCTCCAGGGCCGTCTTGGAGGCCATCTTGGGCGTCTGAAAGGCCTCCTGTGCCGTCTTGGGGGCCTCTTGGCGCCGTCTTGGGGCCCTCTTGGGCCGTTCTGGGGCCATCTTGGAGGCCTCTTCGGGCCGACGGAAGGCCGAAAAGAAGCAAATGTCAAAATCCGTCAACAACCTTGGGCAAATCGAGGTTTTTGGCCTCTTCTGGTCTTGCTGGAGGCCCTCTTGGGGGCCTCTTGGGCCGTCTTGGGCCAGCTTCGAGCCAACTTCGGCCATCTTGGTGGGTTCCTGGCACGTCTGACGCCGTCGGAAGCCGTCTTGGGGGCCTTTCTGGGCCGACTTGGGGCCCTCTTGGGGCGCTTCGGGGCCGTCTTGGAGGCCATCTTGGGCGTCTTGGAGGCCATCGTGGGCGTCTTGGGGGCCTCTTGGCGCCGTCTTCGGGCCCTCTTGGGGCCGTCGTGGGAGCCTCTTGGGCCGTAATGGGGCCATCTTGGAGGCCTCTTGGGCGATCTTGGGGGCCTCTTGGGCCGTCTTGGGCCGTCGGAAAGCCGAAAAGGCGCAAATTCCAAAATCCTTCAAATACCAAAGGAAAATCAATGATTTTGGCCCCTTGGGGCCTTCCTGGAGGACCTCTTGGAAGCCTCTTGGGCCGTCTTGGAGGCCTCTTGCGGGCCTTTTGGGCCGTCTTAGACAATCTTGAGGCCATCTTGGGCCGTCTTGGATGCATCTTGGGGCCACTTGGAGGCCATCTGGGCTGTCTAGGAGGCATTTTGGAGGCCATCCTGGGCCATCTTGGCCGTCTTGGGGCCATCTTGGGCCATCTTGGGGCGGAGCAGGCATTGACTTGTGCAGTTTCCGGGTGGCCTGCGGGACGCGCCGGAGCCCCAGGGGGAGTTCTTTTGGAAAAGAACCAGAAAACCAAGTCCGAGAGGGTCCAGCACGCCAGGCATCCCTGCGATAAATCGACAGGGGGCGGCGGATTGGCCTTCGGCCCACCCTGCCACCGTGCCTGGGTGGTGGTTCGGAGGCCTCATGGATGTTGGTTGGGCTCTCGTGGTTGGCCTCTCGGGGGCCTCTGGGAGGCAGTTTTGTGGCCTCTTGGAGGGCCGTGTTGGGGCCTCTTGGGGCCTCTTGGGGCTTCTTGAGGTGCTTCTTGGGCCCGTGGACTTTCCGGTTCCTGGCCCCGGCATCGCCTGGGCATCGCCTGGGCATCGCCTGGGCATCGCCTGGGCATCGCCCGGGCATCGCCCGGGCATCGCCCGGGGTACTTGTCGTCCAGGGCTCCCCAGGGGCTGCCACGCGCGCGCGAACTAGAAATACTGTTAACCTTTTTCTGGAAATCTTAGCACGCCTCTGGCCCGTTGGGCCGAAGAATTTGTGTGTCCCAGGGCTTCTTTACTAATTCGATCCTGGGCCCAGGATCGGTGTCCATGCCTTCCTCTCCCAGCCAGGGGGGCGCATGTACCGATCATGGGCCCAGGAGGACCCTGGCCAGGATCGGTGTACTCTGAGATCCGACATTGTGAACAACAGAGCAACATCGCAACAAAATCACGACCGGAGCCCTAGACCCCATCTTCCCATGGCATTTCTCAAGCCAGATCAATCTGTGAGGGTCCCAGGGGCCCGAAACGGGGCGCAAACGCCCAATGTGAGCAAAAATGGAATTGCCCCGATCTCAGGGCAGGGTCAGTGTGGGTGCACTCCCAGGCCCCCGATGTCATGACTTCTTCGCAGCGTCGAACCCCAGAAGTCTCGACCCCCTCCCCAGCACTGGCTTTTCATCCTGGGTCGCTGTTGGACGATTCCGAGGCCCGGTGAGGGCCCCCAGAGTCAGGAGGGAAAAAATGCACAGGCACAATTAATCGGCGATTCCCAGAAAATATAGGAAAATATGGGAAGTGGGGGGGAAGACAAAAACCCAGAAAATATGGGAGAATATGGGGGATATTCTTATTTGTGTGTATTTATTCGTGTGTCCCAGTTCCCCTTCACAGAGGCCGAAGTCGGCGCAGAAGTGTCCGTCTTGATTCTTTCCTGGCCAGCGGCGGCGGCGGCGCAGCGCACCCGCAGAGCAAGCAGGCCGCCCAGCTGCCCCAGCAGGCGCAGCCTGCGCCGCCGGTGCCCCCGTCGCAG